GCCAGACTAGAGTAAAGCTCAACAGGGTCTTCTTTCCCCGCTGATTTTGCCAAGCCCGTTCCCTTGGCTGTGGTTTCGCTAGATAGCAAGTAGGGACAGTGGGAATCTCGTTAATCCATTCATGCGCGTCACTAATTAGATGACGAGGCATTTGGCTACCTTAAGAGAGTCATAGTTACTCCCGCCGTTTACCTGCGCTTCATTGAATTTCATCAATTTGACATTCAAAGCACTGGGCAGAAATCACATTGTGTCAATACTAACTTGTAGCTTATCACAATGCTATGTTTTAATTAAACAGTCGGATTCCCCTTGTCCGTTTCAGTTCTGAGTTGGCCAATATTGTATAAAAATACAATATTATAGTATAGTGACGTTTTTACGTACTTAACAAAAGCTAAAAAATGTTCGCAACAAGTCCGGCAAAAAAAAAAAAAAAAAAAAATTAATTTCTTTTAATTTGCCAACTTGGCGGAGACATCTAACTCAGTCTTTCTGCACACAAATACTACTAAAAAAAAAGCCCTCAGAGCCAATCCTTTTCCCAAAGTTACGGATCTAATTTGCCGACTTCCCTTACTTACTTTTTTCTATTTAACCAGAGGCTACTAACCTTGGAGACCTGATGCGGTTGTCGGTACGCTCATAAAATTTTCAGTGCACAGCTTTAACCAAGATTGGACTATTTTTAGTAACAACAAAAAATTTGCGTCCTACACTTGTAATTAATCCCCCCTTGTTTCAAGGATAGTTCTTACAAATCCGAATAGTTTAAATAATAAAAAAAACTACTATTATGTGACGAGAATGAAGTAGAGTAGGGATGAATTAATCAAAAAAAACCTACTCAGTTACATTCTACATCGATATATACTAACTTTTTCTCCAAGTAAATTGATTCCAAAGTCAGATATTCTATATTAAAGTGCAAAGAGAACGCACCTCGGATGTAAGACCTATGTAAAGGGGTTCATATATTATTATGTCGCCATTATGTGCACATGAAATAAAGGCACAGAAATATTAATCTGTTTCCCTTTCGGGTTGAAGTGGGTTTATAGCAAACTTTATGCAATGCTCTACGTGCTTTTACGAAATCACTGCGAACACAATACACTAAAGTTTGCTGTATTACTTCATATTTTCATATCGCTTTTCAGCTAACCCTTAGGAGCGGCTAACTCTTGTACAATCACAGTTGACAAGAAACCCTTCTCCACTTCAGTCTTCAAAGTTCTCATTTGAATAACTGCTACTTCCACCAAGATCTGCACTAGAGAAATTGTTCCACGACAACTCACGTATATCGCTTTCAAACAAACTCTACGATTTTCTACTCGTAAAAAAATTTGCATTCGATAAAAAATACATATATTATTATCGATCTTTTTTTTACGGCCTGGTATCGGTGATCCGCTTTAGCGCCATCCATTTTCAGGGCTAGTTCATTCGGTAGGTGAGTTGTTACACACTCCTTAGCAGATTTCGACTTCCATGACCACTGTCCTACTGTCATAATGAACTAACACCTTTTCATGGGATCTAATGAGCGAATAACTTAGGCACCTTATCCAGGCGTTAGGAGCATCCCTCATTGCCAGTTCTGCTTACCAAAAATGGCCCACTTGGAGTTCAACATTTTAAATGAGAATCATACAATATATATTGCTATAAGCTATGAATACTCTCCTTACCAATTGGGAGTTTGAGAATAGGTCAAGAATAACAATTTTCCTGATTCCTCTAATCATTATCTCTACATGGTAAAACTAATAAAAAAAACTCCAGCGATCCTGAGAGATCTTTCGAAAATAACCAGCTAATAGGCTTTTCGATTAGTCTTTCGCCCCTAAACGTGATTGAAATGAACGATTTGCACGTCAGTATCAATTCGATCCTCCATCAGACTTTCGTCAGACTTCAATCTCATCACGCTTAGTTCAAAGCCTCTCGGGTCCTAACAAGTATGCTCTTACGCAGTCCTACTTATATAAGTAAGACCGGTATTGCATGCATAAATCGTTGTTTTTAAGGCAACGTTCTAATTCTGCAATGATTACATTAATTACGCGTATAACTCATGTTTTGCATTGAAACATATACACTTGCACAATTGTTAGACTCCTTGGTCCGTGTTTCAAGACGAGTGAGATAAGAAAGTACTTTCTAAAAGCAACGTAAAAAAAGGGAACTTTATATATTACATATAAAATATAACCCCAATTTTAGTTTACCTCAGCAAATGATAGTAATTAATTATAAGTTCAAACTATGTAAATCTAATCATGAGAGAAAAGATTTATTAAAAAATATATATATATTATCACTAATTTTCTATATTTTACAAAGCTTAAAAGTCCAAATTATATCAACTCGCTGATGCTTTTTTTTTAAAAGGAGTGAAGATAACTAGAGAAGGGAACTCTAACTAGAGAAGGGATCTCTAAATATTATCCTACCCACTTTCATTCTTTCCTTTCTTATTTCGTTCCATCTTAACGATTTCAGGTACTATTTAATTCTCATTCCTGAGTGCTATTTCATCTTTCCCTCACGGTACTTGTATGCTATCGGTCTCTTACTAATATTTAGCTTTATGTGAAATGTATCACACAAAATATTTGTACTCCAATTTCCAAGAGTACGACTCTATATAAACTATATCTTTTAGAAGCACTATTACTATACAATTCGCTACATTTACGGGACTTTCACCCTCTATGGAAAAGCATTCCTGCTTATTTCTATATAGCATATGTAAAAAGACTACAAAGAATATTGTTTTTAAACCAGACATTTCCAAACAAGGTTTGTAAGGATTACACTGATGAGCTTTGATTCTTGTTCACTCGCCGTTACTAAAGAAATCATTGTTATTTTCTTTTCTTCCGCTTAATTATATGCTTAAATTCGGCGGATCTGCTCTTCTGATACAAATAAAATAAGATCGTATACAAAAACTAATTGATAAATATTTTAACAATTCTTTTATTTTCACCTTGCATTATACTGTTTGTGACAGGAAAACGGAATAACCTTTGATTGTCAACGACCAACAAAACGAGAAATGAAGACTTAAAAAAAAAAAAAAATAAAGCATTACCAATATTAAATTACTTTAACACGCTACGTAATGTATATTTTTTTTTTTTTTTAAGAATATAGATCGACCGACTTTGAATAATCGCAGTATAAAAAAAAAAAAGAACTGTTAAAATAGTAATTTACATTACATTTTATCAATTGTTAATTAATGAAGTCGTAAAAATTGCCTGCCGTCCGCAAAATATGCTTCTATACATAAAAAAAATATTTAATTTTTTTTTAATGTATATAACATAGTATCATTAAAAAACATACCGCAAATAATATAACTTTATTGATAAAAATCAAAAAAGTTATACTATAAATAACACTATGACACATTTGCATACTATATAAGATCTATGCGCCAAGTAATTTATAAATTCACAAGTATATAATCCAAAAAAAAACTGGATAAGTCTATTTAATACCAATTAGTTGAAATTATATTTAATTATCAATAGGGTAAACCTACAATCTAATTAAACAACCAAAAAAAATCAAACGTTGAATAAAATACATGATGTCAGCTGTTACACTTCCTTCACATATGTTATTCTCCGAATGCAAACAAAATGAAATTATTATGTAAATCTGAATACTTGACTTCCAATTAATTGCTTAATGGCTTGAAAAGTATAAATCTAAACACAAAAAAAAATTTCATATATGTTTGAGTTTAGTTCAAAAATTAAAAATCAAAATTAATAATTGTACATTTAAACTGCTATTTTAATCAAAAAGTTAAAAAAAAACAAATGGTAAAATAAATTAAATGATGTCAGCTGTTACACATCCTTCATATATGTTATTTTCTCAAATGCCAACCAAAAAAAAAAAATAATTGTGTAAATCTAAATACCTGACTTCCATTAATTGCTTAATAGGTATGAAATGTATAAATCTAAACACAAAAAAAATTTTTTTTAAGTTACAATTTTTGTACAAGAATTAATAATTATAATTAATAATCAAACATGTTAAACTACTATTAGGTTAAAAAAAAACTAGACAAAAACAAATGGTAAAATAGATACATATATTGTCAGTTGTTACACATTTTCTACATATATTATTTTGCCAAATGTACACAAAATGCAATAATTGTGTAAATCTGAATACCTAACTTCCATTAATTGCTTAATGGATTGAAATGTATAAATCTAGACACAGATATATTAACATTATTGTGTTCAGTACTAGAATTATAAAAAACCTAATATCAGTTAAGTAATTAAACGACTTTCGTTTATATGGCTGCCAAATTGTTGGTTCAGATTTCTAAACTGAATAAACACTAAGTCAGAGCTATCAACACTGATAAAAAAAAATGTAGTATCTATCTCGATTACACTATTTCAATAGAAACAAAGTTCAATTAAAATGTGTATCGGTTCGTACAAGTTCATATAAATTTTCAGACCCGGACAGATTTTCTAAATATAAAATGCATGTCATAAGCATTATTTACGTGCGTTATTTTTGTATACGTTTCATTATTTGTATTTTATCAGAAGTACTTTTCATCCAATTTTTTACAAGAGGAATAAAGTGTAGTTTACATTCAGCATTCTAATGATTTAGAAACATTGCAATTTTCATTGCGTATCGCATTTTGCTGCGGCCTTCATCGCAGTAAGAGCCAAGACATCCATCGTTAAGACTATGTTAAAAAA